TGGCTGTCCACTGTGTCCCCACCCACCCACCCCCAGGCCTCCCAGGTTCACAAGCAGGAGAGGTGTGGGCTGGTACCACAGAGCTCTCCTGCACCATGACAGGACAGGACATCCCTCACGCTTGCATTTGGTTGCAGAAACCACATAGGGAAAGGAAGGAAGGAAGGAAGGAAGGAAGGAAGGAAGGAAGGAAGGAAGGAATAAGGTTTATAGTTTGGCTTAATGTACACTTCTTGTCATCTCCTGGCTCCTGAGAATTCAGGGTTCGATCAAACAGCTGCAAAGGTGTGTACCTGACTGCACTGGAAAGGTTCACTTCAAGAGACACAATCTCCCTTAAAGCAACCCTTCTTTCTGCTGGGGAATCGCTCCATCCAGACCCCCAAAAAGGTCTTGCTTGGGCAGGGATCGGGGTCTGGCTGGAGCATGTTTCCCTGTTGGTTGTGCTGGAGGTCAGGAGAGAGATCGCACCTGATGGCTCCAGCAAGGATCCAAATTGCAACCTGTCTCTCTGTGTGGTTACACACATAAGTTTCCAAAATCTGCACAACCTGAGTCCTGAGTGTTTGTTTCACCCAGCAGAACCAAGACCAAACAAAACAAAACAAAACAAAACCACAAGGCAAAGGACGTGGCGGTTTCTCTTGTTCACTCCCAGAGTGATGCGCTGCTGTTTCCTTTTGAGTTGGGTGGGAAGAGGTCTCCTTATCTCAAGGTCGAAGGGATGAACCATGGCAGAGGGAGGTTGTGGCCCTTTACTCTGAGGCTTAGGAGTTGTTTTGGAATAGTGGGGAGTGCCTGCCTTTTAAAAAAATGGACACAGCCCTGGCAAAGAAAGAATGAGGCAGCCTGTGAAGGGGTGGGGGGGTTCATGGGAGGGGAATGCCGTCCCACGGTGGGCAGCCAAGCTCCGGGGGAAGGCAAGGTGTTGCTTGCCACTCTCATTGCCTCCCGGACCTGAAAGCAGGGGACCCCATTCCTTCCTAAGCCCTGCCTGGGAGTCGGGCCCTGGAAGACTCCCTGAGATCTCCTGGACTGCCAGGGAGCCTCCCCTTTCCCCCTTCCTATAGAGAGAAGCAGACCGACTCCTTGTCTCTCTATTCCCCCCACCCCACCCAGGACGCCATCCTGCACAACCACCAATTCTGGCTCTGGGTCAAGGCTCTCTTCGGAGTCCGTTCGTCCAGCCAGTACCGGAAGCTGGAGCGGCAGCTGGAAGCGGACACCTCGTGGCCTCCCGTGAACCGAAGGGATTGGGCCACCGAGGGGAGAAGCGAGGCCTACATCAACCCCGCCTTCGATGACCAGGAAGAGAAGTAGGCGCCCGGCGGGATGCACCGAGGACTTGGCCCCTCGTCCGCACACGCTGAACTCCTTTTTCAAAGAGGCCATGATTCTCACGGGAAACAGTGTGGCGCAGGAGACCCGTGTGTGCGGACAGCTTTTGGAAAGGGGTGGCCAGAGCTGAGCCCCCACCCGAAGGGGACTCAGTTCCTCTCTCTGCTCTGTGGCAAAGTCCTCAGAGACATTTCCACAGGGAGCGGGAAGACGACGAAGACGAAGGGCCAGGGCCTCTGCAGGGCAGAAAACACCCTGTAGAGAGGGCGGGCGGTCAAATACCAGTCAAATGGAAGATGGAGCAGGTTTGTTTAGCGTGGCTCCAGAGAGGAAGAAAAAAAAATTCAAATTAGGAGAAAGGAGATTTCACTTCAATGTTAGAAAGAGCTTCTTGACAGTATGAGGTGCTCAACAATGGAATGGATTGCCTCAGAAGACAGTGGATGGACCGCTATTGAATGTTTTTAGGAAGAGGTTAGATGGCCAGAAAGCTTTACCTCTATATCCCTCCATTGACAGGTCGGACAAGATAAAACTTGGATCTCTTCCCAGCTCTACAATTCTATGATTCTATGAGATTTCAATCATTTAGGAGGGCAGAGGGGAGTTGATCAGAGGAATAGAGTAAAAAAAAATACTTGAAACTGAGCATGTCCTCCCATAATATTCCAAGTGCAGCTTGAAAAAGTGACTGTGTAACGCTGGGTGGTGGGGAAAAGAAAATATTGTGCCCATTAAAAAGGCTGTGGTGCCAGAGTCGCCACCCTTTGCCCTTCCAGCGTCTCCGTGGCTGCCCTTGGTCCACAAGACTGCTTCCTCGGCTGGTTCTCTGCTCTTTGGGAAAGGGGAAGTGTGGGGGGGGGTTGGAGGGGGAGAGGGGTTTCCGCAGTCGTGGTGTGGACTAGCACTTCTCTGGCCACACACTACTGTGTGAGGGGGTTCCTCATCACCCCTTCCTTGACCTGCTCACTATCCCCTGTTCTTTTAGGGCTCAGCGCTGAGTCTCATAGGCATCCAGTGCTCCCCAGTCCCTTCGTGCCCACAAGTCTCAGATCCCCTTTATACGATCCTGACGGAAGGGCTGATGCTCAAGATCCAAAGGGGGGAACTCCTTCTTACATCCTAAGGCCACCTGGATCCCAGGGAGGGAGGGAAGGACAGCACATAGATAAATTGAATGAATGATGAAAATCAGATGCCCGAGGCTGCGTCTTTCCCTCTGGAAACCACACTGGCCCCCTGCTCCCTGTGACCCCACGGTGTGCGGGAAAGCTTCAGCTTCAGAAAGTCTCTCTTCAGCCTAGATGTTGCTGGACGTTCTCAGGATCACCGCCTGCCTTGTAGACGGTAATCTCTCTTCCCCCCCCCCGCTGTCACGCTGCCCTCCTCCCACCGGGACTGAGGGAGGCTTACCTGGGAAGGCACAAGCACAGCACGATGGCAATGACCAAGACAAGGACGATGGTGGCTGCTGAAACGCCCAGAACAATGTAAAGGACGGTGTAGGAGTCCTTCTCTGGGGGAGCTGGGGAGGGAAAAGAAGGAAAAAAGAGATGAGGGAAAACTCCGGAGCGTCTGTGCCCAGGCTGGGGGGTGGGTGGGGCAGAAGGCCCCCTCCCTGGCCTTTGGGGTCGTCCTCCTGGAAAGGCCTTACTGGTTCTCGGGAAGTTCATGAAGGAGCTGCTTAGCTCAGACAAAGGAGGAGGTAGCCAGGCGCTCCGTTTTGGTTTTTTAAAAGAGACGGATGAGCAGGTTTTTTTCACCTTCCATGTAGCCCAATGCAAGTGGGAGTAATCCCAGAGGCTCCCTCAAGGCCTCTGTGCATGCCCAGAGACTTAGCTGAGTGGAGACACAGCCGAGATGTAGACACAAGTGGAGAGGAGAGAGCGGAGGCTTCCGGGGTGCAGCGTGAAAACTTAAGGCAACCTGCCTAGTTGGCTGGGCCAGAGCCTTTAAAAAGGAATGGGAGTCTTCTCACGAGAAAAGGACGGGGCAATTCCCTGGCAGAAGAGAAAGAGGCTCCGGCGAGGGGAGCAGCCTAAGGGTGGGTCAATCAAGGCAAAGGCAGAGGAAAGGAGCTTTACCTGTTAGCTGAATTTCATCTTCACAAAGGTATCCCTGGTACCTTTCAGGGCACTGGCAGTAAAAGCCTTGGGGGTGATTGGCTTCTGTGCAAACGCCATCATTCAAGCAAGGACTGGAGAGGCAGGGGCCAGCTAGGGGCGAGAAGGAGGAGGAGGAGGAGAGAGCCGTGAGCGAGGGACTTAGGAAAGAGGGCCACAGGGAGTTGCCCAGCCTGACCTTCCTCTACGTCCAGTCTGGGACAGGCAGAGCCTGTTATTCCAACCAGGCAGGTGGCTCCACCTTGGAGGATGGTCCCCCCATCCCCTCTTGGTGGGAGAAGAAAGGCTCGGCAACTACGCACAGCGATAGCAGCCCCGGGTGAAGTTGGCCACGGTGCAGAGTTCCTTGTCGACACAGGCCGTCCTGGAGCAGGAAAGACCGGAGCTGCTTGTGCACACACAAGACTGGCTGCAGTCGTCGGTCATAAAGCTCTCCCCCACCTGGAACAGAAGGGCAGAGAATCAAACTTGCACAGGGGAGCCAGAACCAAGACTCCTCCTGCCCCTTCATCTCCCCAGCTTAGAAACGTTGATTCGTGGAGCTGGATGGGGCCCCCCTAAGGGCATCAAGTCCAACCCCCTTGCTCAAGGCAGGAACACAAATCAAAGCAGGCTGGACAGAGGGTGGTCCTATTTTCTCTGGAATGCCTCCAGCATTGAGAGCGCTCACCACCTCCCTCTGAGGTCATGGGTTCCACTGTCGTACTGCTCTAACAGTTAGGAAGTTTTTTTCCCCCCTGATACTCAGAATCTGTCTCCTTGTCACTTGAGCCCATGGTTGCATGTCCTGCACTCTGGGGTGACCGGGAACCGATCTTGTCCCTCCTCTGTAGGAGAACCTTTCGAGTCTTTGAAGAAGATTGCTATCTCACTCATCTTCTTTCAGCTTCAGGCCTCCCTTTCCCTACAGCTGCTGCTGGAAGTCCTTCACCGTCAGCTTTCAGGGGCAGCTGGTTAACCAGCGGCTGGCCTTCCTGAGCCTTTTCTAAAGGTACTGGAAAGATGTTCAGATTCTGCACCCCAGCCCCACCTCCCAGCTGTGGCTGAATCCATGGGGAGGAAGGGACGGGAAGGAGAAGCCTCTGCCAAGGTTCAGATACGCAGACCTTGGGGGAGGATTCAGCTCATCTCTACACCCACACCCACTAGGTTGTTGGGAGGACTTTGAGAGAGGAGGCACTGGTGCTCTGGACTGGGCGGTGGCTGATGGAAGGCAGAGGGGGCATCATCCCACCGTACCTGGTAATATCTTCCCAAGAAGGTGCAGCCACACTCTCGGAAGGGCACGCAGTCAAAGCCGCTGAGGACGTGTCCAGGGAGGCACTCGCACCCTTCCAGGCAAGGGGCCTCGCACTCTGCAGGGGCAGCCAGATCCGCACACGAGGCTGGGCAGGCGGATGTGCAGGGGCTGTATCTGCTGTTGGGGGGGCACTGCGGCGCTGCGAAGAGAACACCGCCGGAGCCTCTGAGCATCCTGGCCCTGGGGAGGGGCAGGGGCTCCCCTGCACACACATGCAATGCCAGGCTCTCTCTTCACTAGCACAGGTCCCCTGATTCCGAAGGTGATGGCCGAGATGCCAAGGTCACCAAGGGCCACCGGGAAAGGTTACAGACATCTGAGGAGGGGGCTCTCCTCCCCCCCTACTCTGTCCCCAGAGAAGGAGAGACCCACCAGCCATGTTCTGGCTCCCTAAGCTCTGAAGGAAACGGAGCACTCACTGCACGCGGTCGTCGTTCTCCAGTCCCCGAGGGTGACCCCCTCCACCTGGCAGGCCAGGGCGTATTGCTCCAAGGTGGGGCACAACCGGGCGGTCCTGTTGGCTTCGATGCACATGTCGAAAAGGCAGCCCCTGCAAGAGGACAGGACGGACAACTGAGAGCCGGGATGGCATTACGTGCATGCGTGCGCGCACACACACAGGTTTGCTCGCCCTGAGCTCTGGGATGGCTTCCCTTGCAGAAGGGCTCTGGGCTGAGGAATGGCCGTGCAGGGGGAGTCAAGGAAAGCTGCCAGGAGTGAGAAGGCCATGGAAGGAATCAGATGGAGAAACCGAGGCTCCAAGCATACATTATAGACTGCCTATCATTGGGAGAGGAAATTCCTTATAGGTAGAGAGACATCTGCTTGTCACAGCAGGACCTTTTCACACATCCCCCAGTTTTGCAAATCATCCCACTTTCTTTTGTGATTGGTTATCGGGAGGTAAACTCTACGGTTGGAGGCAGAATTAATCAGGAAGGAAAGTGTGCTGGAGGCATGTCTCTGGAACAATGGAGAGGTTTCAACTTCTAATAACATGCCATCTGGAACTAATGATCAGATCTTCAGAGAAGTCCATGGGGTGGACAGCAATGGAATAGGCGAGGGCATTCCGAGATGAAGCACCGATCCAGAAGAGGGAGAGCGATCCTATCCAGAACAGGCTGGACTCAACCTTCTTGGTCAGATGGACCAAGAGAACCTCGCACCGGCTTCAGTCAAGTTTTTCTGCTTAAAAGCCCCCTGTTCAGTCAAAGTGGCTGCTCTTGTGAATCCTTTGGTCTACTTCTCAAATAAGTGGTTGTGTTGATTATTGGTTACCTACAGGGCAGGGAGCGCTCCTTGCCTGGGCTGCAAAGGGACAGCCTTCCTTCCTTTCCTCCTCCTCCTCCTCCACGGTTGACCCTCATGCAAGCTGCAGGCCTCTTGGGTCATAAAGGAAGAGCAGGTGAAAGGAAACCCATTGCACCTGGGGGTGGAGGGTGGGGGCTCTGCTCGATCACGGATGAGAGCCTCTTTGAAAGCTGGCCAAAGGGGCCTCTCTGTCTGTCGCTGTCCAGCCTGCTGAATGTTTTTAATTCCCCTTAAATGGAAGTTGTGTAGGGGTAAAGCATGCCACCGGATTTTCTGGTCCTACGAGGATAACTCCCTTCTGCCCGT